TCAGAACATGAAATGTCATCGTATACATAAATTTTTTAATAACTTTTAATTTGTTTAATTTAATATTTTTCTCTACTTAGAAGGTAGAAATTTATTATATTTTAAAAAAAATATAACTAATAATATTAATTATTATATTAAATAAATATATTAAATATATTTATGTATTTAAAAGTTAAAAAAATTATTTAGGTGTACATACATTGACAATTATAATGCAATAACATTAAATTATTAGAAATAAAAACATTCATTTAAATACAATATTAATTACATAAGAGTTAACGGTTATATGATGATAACAGAGTTTGACATTTTTTTCTATTGTGCCCGATGTTTCTACAATGCCCACACACGTGTCTGCTGATATGGCAAAGGCGCGTTCCCGGGGACGCGCCTTCCACACGTGGCATCCAACTCAGCGAAAACACGGGTAAAGCACGTCTCCGGGGACGCGCCTTTGTCAACTCAGCAGAAAGGGTGCTACTTCTGGAAATATTGGTCAAACGGTATCAGAAAGGAAAAATTAAAAAAAAACGGTGTTAGTTATGTAATTTAGCCCATGATATGGCCCATGACATGCCCCTTGACAGCTGAATTGACTAAAAAGCTTTTCTATGTAAGTTTATAATATCCAAATTAAGGAAACTAATTTTAAACATGGGCGCAATTTAACAAAATTAATAGAAATTACAAGTACCTCAATAAATATACCCTTTTCTTCTGCGCAACAATTACAGCCATATGTGTGTGTATCCCCCTAAGGCTTAGCCGGGCTTCAGCTTTAATCTCGGTGAACAACAAATTCTGTGAATTTAATTCAGTTAATTCCTAACATTCAAAACAAAATGAAGTTGAAATATACGTTATAAATCTGTTCTCAAAAATGGTAAAAACACACAATCAGAACTTCGTTAATGCTAAAACAGATCAAATTAAACATTCTAGTATAGCACGAGAAGAAAGTCAAACTTATAACAGTCTCCTTCAGCTTAAGCTTTAACTGGCAAAAGAAAAACAGTCGGCCAATAAAACCTGGCAGCATCCAGGATAAATACTCTTCAAACCATCAGAAACTGTAAAAAACTCAAGGATTGGATCCTCATGACAGTCAACTAAAAATTAACTCCCATCAACCAGTTTTTGCATTCACAGTTATGTACCTACTAATATTTATACAATGGTGAAAATATTCTCAACCATTTGACAATGAACGCTCATACCCTTATATAGATAATGTTTGAACTCGAGACCTCAAGGGATAACAACGATTCTTTAACCACTGAGGTCGCTTAGTTCGTGCCCAATATTTCCTATCTTTTCTTTTTTGAAATTGCAATTTCTTGCTCCTCGGCTAAAAAGCCAAACGCATAGCTTCTTGGCAAATAGTTTGCAGCCTACGCAAAGAAATATTAGATTAAATAAACCAACTTGAGAAAGAAAAAGCATGAACCATGCGACATTAGTGATTAAGAAACTATTGTTATTCCTTGATATCCCATATTTGAACACCGGTATATAGGGGTATATGAGCGTTCATTGTCAAATGGTTGAGAATCTTTGAACAAATACTATCTTGTATTAATCCCAAATTAATAAAAAAACATGAGAAGGAACAGGTGAGCAATGAGAGTCCAATTTCCAACACATGGATAACTTGCAATATAAAAGGATAATAAGCACTAGAAATAGAACAGGAGAGCATGAAGCATAACACACCTGACTGCCGCCGTGCCGATCGTACACTGTAGAAATGAGCACAGTTAAATTGCTACCACACATTGACGTAAATCTCCACGGAGGTATGTTATTTGATTCAAACACGCTTCCTTCAGGTAGTTCTTATCTACAAGTGTACTTAACCTTAAATTTAATTTGATACAGTTTTATTTTCACTGAGCGACTTGATCCTTGAACCATAACATGACGGAATAATCTCAAGAAACCGAATAAAATTCATTAAAGATAATGGCCACTCCCTACACATAAGTATTTCAAAGCTGATCAAATCAAAGTTCTCAACAAGTAAATCCCAGAAGTATACCTAAAAATCATTTGGCCCCTACTGGAGTAACCATGATAATTGAGGATGCCAATGCATGAATAACACATAGCATCCCGGGACAGCTTAAATAGTAATTAAAACATACACCTACGACAAACCCCAGATTTTGACTTGATGTAGAACATACGACATTAGAAATGCTATAATGTATTAAGAATTGTAGCATGAAAACATGGAAAAAGGACGAAGTAATTAGGGTATTAGCCTAGAGTTCCAACCTGAAGGCCTCAGCTTGGAGCCTTGGACCACTGATAACAATGTACTCAACCCCAAAGTCTACAGTTGTAGAGAAGAAATTATAAGGGAACTTAATTCTCAATAAGGTTGAGACAAGATTCTTGGACTTTTTATATAAAGCAAGTTGACAATCATGAATACTATGCCAAACATAAGCTTTGAACTGCAGGGGATAAACAGTAACACAAGCCATTACAGCCACGCTTTCAACGGTGTACTTGAAGTCCTGCATTGCCTTACAAAGAAAAAAAAAATGCAGATAGCATTCTCTTGAAAAAATAATTCTAAACAAAAATGTAGATGGATGATTAAGTTTACGACCAAGGCAAGAACAGAGACATTCTGGATTTACCTCCCCCATAATGCCAGTTTTATCAGAACGTGGGCATTCTAGCATACAATCTCAGGTGCCCGTATCCAAGAGAGCAATCTCATCTGCAAAGTGCAAACATTTAGACTTTTTACTTGGAGAGAGAGAGAGATAGAGTAGGAAGGAAGGAAATGCAAAATTCATTACAAATTGTGAATTAAGCATAGCCTAGTATCAATAGAACAGTTTAAAGCCCGTATCCTAGAAACACAGTAAAAGGAAGCTCAAATTTGATGGCAAAACCTATTAGTATGAAGTTAATAAATAAACACAGTTGATAAAGATCTTACCATAGTTCCCGAGATGTTTAAGTGAAAACATGCAGCTTCAAGTAATAAAGCAGAAAATATAAAGAGCTAACCGTCCCAGTCAGTCACCAAAATCATTTTTTCCTGATTGAAGAAACACAATCAATTGTTGTATTGACATCTCGATTGAACTGCTTAGCCTCAGAAGCGAAACAATTCATGGATAAGCCTGAGGAAAACTAATACATCTGATATAGCAACTTTTAACAGTAGTTGCAGTTGGCAAAGTGAAATAAAGACGCGTAAACCACAATTATGATTATGTTTACAAGGTATAATTAAACTGGAAAAATAACTTTTAAGTAGAAACAAAAGATCTTTACACTCAAGTCACCAACTTTGAGAAAACTTCAAGACATCCAAATCGTTTCACTTGAATATAAACTTGTGGATAAATCTACAAAGTGACCTAACTATGGACCAGACAGTTGGTCAAGCAACTATCCATGTAATGTAACGATCATTTCACAACGAAAGTGATTAAGGATTTGTTTGTTAACAGTATAATAAAACAAGACTATACAAAGAAAATCAACTCAAACCATCATATTCAAGTCAGAAAGATCATCCATGGGAATTTCAAGGCCCAAGAATTCATGATCTTGTAACCTGTCATCATCAAGGTTCAACCATGAACCGAGATCTTGTCCTGGTAGCTGCAAGTCATCCAATATATCCACGCTAAACTCGTCTTTTCTCTGACATTGTTATTGGCAGTTATCTCACTTAACTTTGATACGGAAGTTGATGTTTTGGGTCGCTCAGACATCTTGCCAAGAAGGCCATTTGCAGAAACAGATAGTTTTGTTTTCTGCTTAGCATTGGATACTGGTCGACCAATCTTACTAGTTCCATTTCTAGATAAAACTTCTCTACCATGTCCCTTCCCTTCTCTGTCTCTTCCACTCCTTTTTCCTTCTGTACTGCTTGACAAAGGACTTCCAACGCCTGACTGGGCACTGTAAGTACCACCAACTACATCCTCCAGCAGTAACTCTCTCTTCTTCACCCTGTTAGAGCATGCGCCATTTTTAACAGCAGTTTGATCAGATAACCGATTTATTGGTGGAAGCATATCAGGCGAATTAACAGCATAGCTATCTCCATTTTGACCTGCCAGATAAGTACAGTGTGAGAAACAGTGGAAGCTGCATAAAAGGGTAAAGTAACATTCCACAACATAATTTGCCTCATAAGACAGAAAAATTGGAGAAAGAAGAAAGAGAAGACAACCATGCAGACTGCAAAAATACAATGAAGTGCGTTCTGCAAATGATTATATTACATGGAATGCATATAGTATAACAACTAATGGGTAAATAAACAGTCCAACTTCTAGATAATTAAATATTCTCAATGGAAATGAAATGCAGTCGCACACAGAGAATCAAGTAGATCTATCCACCTTCGTAGGAAACACCGGAGAGTAGAAAAACCAAAAGCAAATTCAAATTTTGCGGCAATAACACTTATAATAGAGATTTTGGATAAAAAAGCTCTAACTGCTATTCGGTTCTTAGTAATTTAGTTATCTTCATATGTATACAGCTGAAGGAAAGAAAAGTGTAAGAGTTAATGGATAAAGCTCTTCTGGCCAAGTAATTCATAAAGCTATGAAATGAATTTCAATTATGTAAACTTTGAGACAAATGGTGACAAAACAGTTTATTCAAAATATCAGGTCAAGGAGAAGTGGAAGGGCATTATATAATACTTGGAACTTGGAAACCAAAATAGTTTTCTGAAACTATGTTCTCTCTTCAGTATTTGAAAACCATGAGGAGTTTGAACTACTGAATAGGAGGTAGTTATCCCCTGTAACATAGAAGATCTTCACAAAATTCACTTGTATTATTATTGTTATATTTAAGTTAGTTAAAGTTATCAATAATTCCATTCCTGCTCATTTGCAACCATTTATTCTACTTTCTTTCTTTGTTAGTTTTAGCCACTCGGATAACTATTTCTTTGAAATCATGAAAACCAAAATAACAAGGAGACTGAACAACAAAAGGCTTACCATGTACTTTTCATAAGCCATCGTGACAAGTTTGTCAAGAGCAAGTTGTTCGAATTCCCTATATAAAACATGAATTATTAAATAATACACACTAGACACCGAAGACTTTAAATTAAAAGGCAAATGCAACAAACTATATAAAGAGAAGATAAAACAATACTTCTCTTGATTTCTTCTTGTTTCAGTGGCAGCTTCCAACAGTTTATTAAGCAAGCCTTTCTTCTTTGAAACCTATAGCATTATAAAATTACAAAATGAACTCAGAAAAAGTTTTAAACTTTAAGATGGAAAATCCAACAATAAATTTTGTATCAGACTCCAAATCCACTCAATAGTTCCTCCAAATTCGGTTCTATGTAGAATGCGCATATAGCAAAGTACAACTAGTAGAAGTAGATTAAAATTAAGTCGTAAAATAATCACTAGTAGTTATAAAGAAATATCAAATGCAAAGCAAATACGATGAGATTTATCAACTTCCACTGCCTGTGCTATAATTTTTTATTGTCTTCACTCCAAATAAATGCAACAAATGAAAACAACGAATAAATGTAACCACAACAATAAAAAGGAAACCTTCAGAAAAAAATGTGCCAAAAATCTGGTGTAAATGGCTGCCGATATCATAAAAAAACAAGTCAATTTAACAAAGAGATTCAACAGACAACAAACAGGTCATCCACAAATATATTCCCATCTAGATTCACATACTATATGACATTTCAGGCAATTATCATCTCTCTCAACCTCTACTGCTAATAGATTTAATTTTATCTTTTTCTTGTCCCATAAGTGGCCTCATAGAGAATCGAAATAATTCCTATTCATGTCACGGAGCTCAAAGATACTCAGGGGCATGGTTAGACTCCTTTCAAAATATCAAATTGTCAAATATATTAGGTTGTCCCCCCTAAATTCTGACTAATTCTCTTACTTCAACATAAGAGTCAAATGTTACCATTTCTCATCAAATGCAGCTTAAATGACTCTCAGTCCCAAAGAATTTTGGTAAGATGGTTAATGGTTCCAGGAGGGAGACTACATACAATCTTAGGAAAAAGGAATATCCAATCATTAACCTAAGTTTATCTGATAGGGTCGAAATTCAAAAGATTGGCCGGTCGCATTGCGGCTCATTACTTACACTCAAACAGAAGAACTCTGTCATTATTTAATTAACTGCTACAGCCAACAATATTCTATACTTTATATTGCATCAGCAAATTAAATATTTATAGTTAAAATGTAAGAGGAGCAACACTATTTACTAATGGAACAAACTGTAAGTTCAACTGGAAAAGATTTCTCAAGCATCTTACCAGTAAGATCATCATTCCCATTTAAGTTATATCTAAGTCAGAATTGCTCATCAGGTTCGCTCTCTTTTACCCGGAAGAGGATACAAATAATTGAATCGACTTCGCTTACTTTTACTTCAAATAAATCAAGATAGAATTGGATCACAGGAGTGAAAACAAACATTATCCAAGTTATCCATATTTCTTCTGTTTTGACTATCCACAGTAAAGCTGGTCTAAACTCAAACTTTACCATTTTATCCTCTAACTCCTCGATTGTACATCTCAATCATGCTTCAATCATCAAACATTATCTTTAAGAAGAAGAAGAAAATAATACTAACAATAGTATTAAAAATTGCAGGAAAATCCCATAAACTAAATCAAAACAAATTTAGAAAGTAAAACTTCAATAAAAAGTCAACGAAATTAAAACAAAAAAAATCAATAAATTAAAAGGAGAAGAAGAAAAACCTAGAGCTCGCTCGCAATCAAAGAATGTGAGTAAATCTACCTCCGGTAAATCGCGAAAACAGATGATGGCGGAGGCTGTAATTTTAAGCAAGGTAATTAGAATCTTTAAATTACGGATACGAAATTGGTTGACGTAATTGATTCGTGGTTCGGAATCGAAATTGGAAAGTTCGTACAAAGCATGGAGATGGAAAGCGCCAGTGTTTTGTTTGATCGGCAATGGAATTGGGTTAAAATTGAATGCCGATTATGCCCATGAATCTTAGTACTTCGGATGCGAGGATGTCGACCATCTGACCGGGGGGTTTTGGGTAATAAAAATATATTGAGCCGACTCGTAATACGGTTTGTGGTTTATGACATGTAGTGTGATGCGAGGAATTGGAATGAGGAGTTACGGCGATAGAGTCTAATACGTAAGGTTAAGGAAAGATGACCTAAAATATTATAAAGTACGAATTAAAATGCTATAAATAGTATAATATTTTAAGTTACGCGTAATTTAAAAGATTATATTTTATAATATTTTTTATTTGACCTAAAATATTATAAAAAATATAATATTTTCGGTTGTAATTTAAAATATTATAAAGAAGGTTTGTAAAAAAATAAGAAAAAATAATATTTTAAGTTATACATAATCTAAAATATTATATTATTTATAATATTTTAAGTCGTATATTTCTTTAATCTTATATTAAGTGATTGTACCGATAGAGTCACTAAGAATCGGTAATATATTTGTCCTATAACAACTTAATATAAAGATAAAGAAATGCACAACCTAAACTATTATAAACAACGTAACATTTTAAGTTACGTTAACTTTTTAATATTTTCGATTTAATCAAAAGTATTTTGAAAACATAATATTTTTAATTGTAACTTAAACGAAAAAGGTTTGCACCCAAAAAAATAAAAAGAAATTAACATCTTAGTTTACGTGCTACCTAAAATGTTATGTTTGTTTATAACATTTTAGGTCGTACCTTTTCTTTAACCTTATATTAAGCGTTGTAGGTAGAATCCCCAACTTTTTGTGCTCCATCTCTTTCAGCAGATGTATTTGCTCCTCTTCAGTTTGGTATTATACTATAACAGCTTTGTTGATGCTTTTATAATTCAAGAATTTATAAATAAAATAGCAAAAATACTTTTCAACTTAAACTAATGTGTTATCATCAACGTGGTTTATAAGTATATTACATAAAAAACATCAAAAAAACACTTGATAACATCAAATTAAAATAACAACTTGATAAAATCATAAAAAAAAAACTTGTTTCTCTAAGAAGAACATCAAGAAGTATAAAAACATCGAAAAAATTTGTCAGAAAAATATTAAAATAATGAAAATTTGATATTTGCATCAATCTTCATGATATTAGGGGAAACCCCAAAATATTAATTGACAGCAGAAAGTCATCAGTGACGAAAAAATAAATAAAATGTTAAAATTTATATGAGGTTTAACTGCACAATGATGTAATTATTATATCCAATTAATTAATTCAATTGTGTGTGTGTTTTTTAAATATGATGATCTAATTGTAAATTTACTAATAATATAGTGATTTATAATGTACTGTGTCCACTGAAGAAATCGATAAAAAGGTGAAGAACGACGTGTTAGGCTTTGCTTTTGTTAACAAAAGCCAAAATTAACAACTCTCACAATAAAAATGGCAATTAGAGCCGAACAATTCGATTTGCATGCTTGTTCGAGATTTGCCGTTTTCTTTGAAATGGAAAAGTAGCTGACGCGCCGTTTCTCTCAAGTCAATAATGAATTTTGTTCATAAAAAGCCCACAAATTGAACGTCAAAATCAGCAAACGAAGAGTTTGGCTACGACCGCCTCTGGTTCCGCTAGTCGATTCTCGATGAAGTTTTGTTCTGTTAGTTTAAAGATTTGATGGAAATCGCCTTCGCAGCTCTGTGCAGAGTCTTTTTCGAGCAAGTCAATCGTGATGTAAGCAGTGCTCTCGGCTCGTATTTATTAAAAAAAAAAATTACCCGATTTGACTCGTTGCACGTTAAAATTTTACTTGACTCATGTTTGTTAAGAAAATTTATTACTATTCTCGTTTCTCGTTAAGCTCACTGAAATTTTTTTTTATTTCCTTAATTATGAAAAATTACTAATACTATATAGAGCTTTATGTAATCATAAATTAATAAATTAAACCAAAAAAATCATCAAAATAATGTATGAAATAATTTTAAAGTCTAAACTCTAAAATAATAATCCACGAATACATTAAAATAATAAATTCGATTTGATTTTTGAGCGTGTAAAATATTAATTAATAATTTAGTATATTTTTGTTGTTTATTAAAAAATTAATAGATTAGCCGTTATATATATATATATATATATATATATATATATATATATATATATATATATATTATCAATTAGTAAATTATTAATTTTTTAAATGAAATATTTTTTTAAAATAATTACTAAAAAAATATATTAAAAATTTAACGAACTGCTAGTAAACTTATCGAGTTGGGTTTTCGTAAAAAAAATTATCTCATAAACAGCAATTCTCAGTCTTACTCATTAAAAGTTAATTATTTTTCTCTTTTTTTAACTACCTACTTTCATATTTACTTAAAAAAAAAAGATTTAGCCTTACAAAAAAATGATATGGACAGAGACAAATGAAGTGTGAAGTTTTTAATTGTTTGGATAATAAGGTGAGAAGGTTAATTTTACTTTTCATCATAACATGCACATGGTGTTCACATTAATTATTTTAATATTTATCGTTTTGTTCTTTCTGGCTAGAATTTATTTTCATGTTAACGTTGAGTTTTTTCTTATATGATTATTCTATTTGTTACCAAGGGATAATAATTTAAATATTTTTATTGATTTCTTATTAATTATAATAATTTAGTTATGCTATTAATTTGACATGAGTAAATATAAAATATTTAAATGTAAATATGAGATGAAAAAATATTATTAGAATTTTGTGGTAGTAGGTGAGAGAGAGGTAGAAAATTGGGATGGTAGAAATCAAACTTGATTTCTAGAATATGGACAAACATGCATGTGGAAAATTACAAATACTTGGCATCTTGGTAAACATTTGGCAAGAAGATTAAGCAAAATAAAATAAATTAGTTGATCTTTTTTTTATATATAATGGGGTAAAGGTAGTAGATTGTCCCCAACGCTAGGTTGAGAGTAACTTTCGTGGAAGACTTCCGTTATGAATTTCCCTCAGTGGTACTCGATCCCACGACCATAAAATTAAAAGTCTTGTACTCTACCCACTGAGGTAGACGGGTAAGACAAGAAGATTAAGCAAAATGATTAGCTTAAACGTGGCATTGAAGGCGACAAAATTATGGTGGCGGCATAGTAATTGGCAGAAGAAAATTAAGCATGGATAAAGACTTTGAAAAGTCAAAATTCAATCATGACACGCAATTGAAAGGTGGTGGCAAAAGAAAAAACTTTGTAGAAAATGCAAATGGGAAATGGCTTACGGCATCAACAAGGAACGGGTGATAAGAGTAAATACAAAAGTGTCTATCAATTAAGACGCGCGGTTATATACCTTTATAAATATGTATATTCGTAGTTTATGTAGAGTATGTAGTGTGAGGAAAAAATATATACGAGAGAAAGTTTAGTGATCTTTATAAACTAGCCCAATCTAATAACAAGGTAAGGTTGTTTATTGTAGTTTATTTTGTATTAATAATATTGTGCGAGTTAAAAATTTTATCAAATGTTCACAAACGTTTCCAACATGGGATAGGTGATTTTCATCTGTTAAGACAAGGTTATAATATGTTACAATAGCAATGATTACATTTATTTTCTGGAAACATCTATTAATATTATAATAAGATTCGTTTATCAAATACAATATTATAATTATTAATCGAACTAGAAATCCAATTTTACTCGCCAAATATATAATAACGTTTATTATTAAAATAATTGTGATAAACATAGTGCAATGTAAAATATGATCACGATAATATTTTAAATCTCTGCCGATAACTTAAACGTGGCTGTGGGAAGCTGAAGGTGCAAACTCTTCGATGAACCGAGTGAATCCATCTAAATAAGTCTTACTCAACTCTTCATTGCCGAAAACCACTCTCATTGCCCATGCATTGGCCCTAATCGCCGCTCCTTCTGGTTCCACCATCACCTGCCTGATCGTAGCAGCCACCGAGTCGCTTGTAAATGAACCGTCCACTTCATTCCTCATTATTTCTAACCCAACCTTCCTCCCATGCATCAACCTAGCGTTCAAGCCCTGGTCCGAACTTGCCCCAGAAAACAAGATCAGAGCCCGACCGTACTTGAGTGCCTCGATTATTGAACTCCAACCACAGTGAGTCAAGAAACCGCCGATGGAAGAGTGAGCTAATATCCGCAACTGAGGTGCCCAATCCCTCAACACCAACCCCCTGTTAGACACTCGTTCTTCGAACCCTGGAGGGATTATGTCTTGATGCTTATCCTTCTGCCCTTCACCCATTGGGACCTTCCTTACAACCCAAATGAAGGGCAAATTGGATTTCTCTATCCCAAATGCCAACCGGCGCATGGACTCTTCACTTAGATTCACTTCACTACCAAGGGCGATATAGAAAACTGATTTCTCCCCTTTGGTATCAAGCCAACTTTTTATAGCCTCCCACTCATCATCGCTTTCGTCTTCGCTATATGGAAGTGATGGAGGCAGCAACCCTAGTGGAACAACAGGCTTTTGGTAAAGTTTACTAAGCAAATTAATCTCGTCTGATTCGAATTCGTAGCAGGTACGCGCAGTTACAAATTGACAGCCTTGAACCAATACTCCCAACCGTTGAAGATCAGATACATCGTCCATGCACTGTTGGTGGTTCACCATCTCATGTAGCTTCCATGCCACGTTGCAAGGATAATCTATCCACTCGGGGACGACGGTAAAGTCTTCTGGCCACTTCCGAACATCACCTAGCAAAACTGATGGCGGACCCAAGTGAACAAGAAAAGTGGGATTGAATATGCTGAAGAAAACCGAGTTGATGCCGAGTGGTGCGGTAATCTCCGGTAACCAGTAAGGCGCAAAGTCATGGATGATCCAGTTGACGTTCGAGTTCTTGAGGAATTCGGTTAAAGGGGCTCGGAGCTGGTCATACGCCTTTTTAAGGTAAGGGACTTTGTCGATTGGTAGCTCGGATGTGGACTCAGCTCCTGAAGGTAAGCCATTCACATGGAGAAGAGATAACTCGACGAAACTTATGTTGGATGAGAGATGCGGGGCAAGTTTAGGGAGGCGGCCGATGTTTTTAGGGGTGGAAATATAGGATATCCGATGACCCTTCTGAGCTAAGAATTTGGAAACCTCGAGAAATGGCATTATATGGCCATAAGCTAGCCATGGGAACATTGCTATGTGAAGCTTTTTTCTCCTGTCCATGGAGTATTATCGTTGCAAAAGTTCCACACCGAATACGTTTTCTTCTTAATGAGATTGGAACCTTGAGTCTTTATATAGGTAGTTGTCTTTTTTTAAAAAAAATATTTGTACGATATAATTACATTAGGTAAATTTTATTAATTAAAAATTTTAAGGAGGGGTTGCATTTTTTCAACTACTTGAGTCACCCAAGTCTAACGCCTACAAAACTGCTTTTTAAGGAGCTTTGCATTTTTCAGATACTTGTGTTACCAAAAGTACATCTAAACTTGAAGTCAACTTTTCTAATTTTGTCTTTGCAATTTAAATTTAAATTTTTTTTTATAAATAAATTATTTTACCTTTGCCTTTTTTTTTATCTATCTTTGCATTAGTATAACCGAGTGTGTGGCTAATAAACTTCTCATGATAAACAAATAACAATGGAAGAGAATAGGCTAGCTGTCAACCCAAAAATTGCATGATACGTGAAAGAAACGGCTCTATGCTTTCACCAAGTGACAAACCAAATACGATCTAAATTTCGTATTATGTGGTTAAAAAAATTGACTTTTATTTTACTTTATTATTATAAGCAATAAAAGTCGATAAAAAGAAAAGAAAAATTATACCGGTTGATATTAAATTGGATTTCTTTATAATTAACTACTTTGACATATTTAAGTGTTAACTTTATTTTAATTTATTAAAATTAAGACCAAACTGATAGATTAATGTATAAGTAACAATGATTAAATGTGTAATTATACCAAATATTTTAATTATCACATCAGCTTTTTCGTTAAATATTAACGGTAAATGGTTTTATTAAATACATTTAAATAGTACATGAGTAACCTGATTGACAAAATTTTAAAAATGACGGTCAAAATAAAAAGGGACAATAATTAGGTGGTCATTGGTATAATTTACTTTTTTTTTATTTTAAATAATTTACCTTTAAATTTTCAAGTAATTTATAATTATACGTTGAGTCCTTTATAATTTTAACGTTTTATAAATTAATTTATCAGTGCTCATCATTAGTGGTGTGCATCAGTGGTCGTCAATTGTGGAAGAATCATCCTATATATTAAATACATATTTTAAGCTCAAACCTATCAAGAATTAAGATCCAATTATTTTTTAACCATACTAGACTCATTAAATCATGAATGTCTAATTAAATTTTAACCGAAATAAAAAATATTCTATTATATTTAAATTAATGGTTGACCCTTGTTCCCATTTGTAATGGGGTAAGGGGGAGGTAAGATAGTAGGCTACCCCAATATTAGGTTGAGAGCAGCTTCCGTAGGAGACCTCCGAATTATGAAATGCCCTCCGTGGGACTCGATCCCACGACCTCAAGGTTAAGAACATTGTGCTCTACCAACTGAACTGGATGGTCATCTCTATATTTGAATTAATCTAATTAAAAAATATTAAAAATTTCAATTAATTTGGTCAACCGACAGAAATAATTGAACTTTATTCGCTTTGATTAATATTTCTTTTTAAAATTTTGATTCAATTAACAATTAAAAAATCAATCAATTAGATTAATGAAAATTAGATTCAATCAGTGACTGAATAAAGGAAACGAACTCAAATTGTGGGCTGTAAGTAATTAGTTGTCAAATGCTTAAATTCTCAACGCAGAAATTATATTAACCGTCTGAAAGGAGTTGGGAAATGTTTAAATTGAAAACATTGGACAGCTGTTGAACAAAGGGATACAGCACGTGTCAATTAAGAATGGAGGGGATTGTCTAATAGGGGAGAAATTATTAGATGGTCCGACTCGCCATATTATTTTATAATCCCAATCGGTAATATTTTTTATATTATTTTTTTAAGGTAAATCTTCAGCTCTTTCCAATAAATTATTTCATGGACTTAGCTCACCACGTCATCTATGATCCTAGTGAATGATAACCACAAGTTTCAAAATAACTTCCAAATAATCACCTACCGTTTATTTACATGTAGAAAATATGTGAAAATTTACTTAGAAAAAAAACGATCTGAATAAATATTATTGGTTAAGATTACGGATGATACGGTGAACTGAAACTATCTAATAATTTCTCTCTTTCTTACATGTAAATTAAAAATGAATAATTATTTAAAATTATTTTAAAATTTATGATTGTCATTTATTAAGATCATAAATAACATGATGAGTAAGGTCTATGAAATAATTTCTTCTAATAATAATAACCGAGCTGTGATCGTAACCATTATCTTCGATCATAAAAACTTCAAGTCATCTTATATTTTAAATATTGTTTTTTACGTACAATTTTCAACGTTGTATTTTATCTCTATATTGCTCATGTTTATATATATAATTACAAATTATCATATATGTTTTAAAAATTATTTGAGAATGAATATTTAAATATCTCACAATTATGATATTTATATTTATAATCTTTAGAGAGAACAATAATCTTTTTAACAATTGAAATTAGTTATTTGTGATACTCACATCCATATGTACAATATGTATATTAATTATTGGAAAATTTTACAACTCTTGACGAGCACCGATAAATACTATTAAGGATGAGCATTATTAATCTAATTTATAAAAAAATAAATTCTAAAGGACTTAGCCTCTAATTATAAATTAGTTAAAAAATAAATGTAAATTATTTAAAACAAAGCGTAAACTATTCTAGTGACCACATAACTATTCTTCCTTTTTGTTTTGACCACCATTTTTGAAATTTTATCAATCAAGTCGCTCAACTATTTAAATGCATTCAATCAGGTCACTCAACCATTATCATTGAAAATCTTTTAAAAATGTAAAGTCAATAGTTCTGTTAATTTTTAACAGTACATGATTAAAATGAAATCAAAACCTAACATTAGTGAGGATTTTGAAGAAAAAATAATAATTAGATAACTTAACAGAACCAAAGTGATATTTAAGTGATTAAATACATAATTAATCTTTTTTTAGTTGAGAACCTTTCTCTACTTGTGATGAGAAACAACTTTTAAAATTCATATTAATTTGGAGTTAGTACAAGATGATATATGTTTTAAGATAACTCTCAACCATTTGACTACATCCTAGAATCCAGAAAATTAATTGATTTATAATGATAACTTTTTTATCATTGTATATTTCCTTTCTTTATTATTATCATAATTCATTGTTTTGTGACGCTATAATTTCTAATAATTTTATAAAGTACAGAGTGAACATATTATATTAAAATAAATATAAAAATTGTTGTTCAATATGTATTTATATGTTGAAAGATATAGTGTTTGGATTGATAACGGCAAAGACGGGGTTGATGGAATAATAGTTTATGTATATATCATTATTACATATGATAAAGTAAAATATTTTTTTTATTTTAATTTATAAAAATTAAGATCAAATTGATAGAATATATAAGTAACAATGACCAAATGTATAATTATACCAAATATTTTAACCGTCACATGAGCTTCCCCATTAAATATTAATGACAAGTGGCTTAATTGAATGCATATAAATAGTTGAATAGTCTGATTGATAAAATTTCAAAAATATTAGTCAATGAATCTTAGTTAGGAGGTCACTGGTATAATTTATCATTTATATTAAATAATTGCCTTTAATTTTTTTAAATTATTTATAATCATACGTTGAGTTGTTTAGAGTTTTAAACTTTTATAAATTAATGATGCTTATCGTTAATAGTACTCATCATGTTCGTCGAGCGTAGAAGAATCATCCTTAATTATTTGATTATTATTTTAAAGAAATACATTTGTTAGTGTAAAAATGCATCATGGTTATGAAATTACTTTAAATCTTTTTATTCTAATTATAAGCTAAGTTTTCATTTTACGAGTTAACAATCTCAATGATTAAGAGAATGATTATAATTCAAATAGGTCTCGAATACCAACTGTCGCAACCGTCTTTCGGTTGGGCCCCGGATTGGGCTTCGACGTGAATAATTGGGTTAGAGTCGCCACCGACCATTTTAAAACGAACTTAGGTGGGTCGGACACCATCTTACATGATATGCGTTGTACCAGAAATGTGTCGAGTTCGGGAGTCGGTTACAGTCAAGGAAGGATTGGCACCCTTGAACCGCCCTTTCGGTACCAATTAATTTGTCGGTTGTCTTAGTTGCGAAAATTCGAAATTAAAACTTTAAAAATTAAATTCAAATTGCTTACCTTTGATCGATTGAAATTATCCCTTAAAAAGTCACAAATGTTAAATTGTAAAATAAAAATAAAAAATAAACCAAAAAGTATTAATATAATAATAATAATGAAATCGATAAAAAAAATAAATATAGAAAAGGTAAAAATAAAGAAATAATAAAAAAATATATATGAATAAAGGAAAAAATAGTTAATGAAAAAAAAAAACCTAAAATGATTATCTAAATAAAAAACTAAAAATAACTAATAATAATATTTAACAATTTAAAATGGAATAAAATGAAAAATGGAATAAAAAGAAGAAGAGAAAACGAAATTACCAAATAAATAATAAATAACCCACTACTAAAGCAATTGAATTGCCTTAATACATTCAAATGAATGAATAGAAAACATGAAGGATTAAAATGCACTAATTTACCATGTTGCCGACCTTAACAAATCCAGTGCGGCGATCCAGATTTAAATGCAAATTATTGATCTCACCAATTCACCAAATGCATTGTGCAATCATCCTCTTGGGCTTCCTCATGTACACCACTGACCAAAATAATCCATCCTTCAATAGATCTCTGGGGACCGAGGCCACCATTGGTGCCAAGGGACTCGAAGTCGGGAGGTGAGACGGGACTGGCGGTTGGCATCTTCATCGCGAAAACCCACGGCCCTTGGTCTTTTAGGGCCAGAAAGAGAGGTAGAAGCACCTCCAGTGATGGCAGACTTGAGCTTAGGCAGCGACCCAATCGACCATGTCGGGAAAGCCGGTTTAGCCCTTTTACTCCTCGTTTTAGATGGAACTGACAACGAAAAACACGACGTTTTCACAAAAACCGGGCCAGGTTCCGCTTCAACCG